AGAGAAAAAAAAGAATGAGAAAACTAACCTAGTTCCTTAAATGACTGACACACACACACACACACACACACACACACACACACACAGTGCAACTGAAAATTTACATACAAAGATATTCACTGACAACAGTATTTTTTAAGAGCAAAAAACTGGAAACAGTCCATATATTGAACAAGAAGAGAACAACAGAAAAAAATGATAGTTTAGAAAGACAAGAAATACATATAGAAAATGTTTATGGTTAGTTGGATTATCCATGTTTTCTAATTTTTCTATTACTTTAGTAATAAGCAAAAGCATGGCTGTTTAATGATAATCATAATAGTTCCACTCATTAATGGCCTATGTACCAGACACTGTATATATTAGATATTTAACTACGGTTCATTAATCTTAACTACTAGAAGGCAGCTATCATTAGCCTCATTCTATATAAAGCAATATGGTCCTTAGGTTTCTGTTTTTACTAGTTACCTGTTTCCCAATATGAACAATGAATTATTTTATAAAACAACCAGTTCTCTATTAGATGGCATAGACTCTCATCTCTTGGTTTGTTGTCTGCATTTAGGAAGCTATTTGGAACTGCATGGAGTCACATTCAAAGATATAATAAAATTTAAAAAGCTTAAATTTTCCACAAAAAGGAGACTTGCTTATTTGTATAGAGTCTTGGACAAAACTGGATTTTCCTTTCTTTCCACACTAATTCCACATAAAAGAACAGAAGTAAATACACATATCTTTTACTTCTCTATAGCACCTTCTTTTTTACAAATGCATACACTGACTCATTTGATCCTCAAAACACAAGCTGGGCAGGATGGGTAGTATTATCTTCATTTTAAAGATGAAGACAAGGAAGCTGAGAAATAAAAATGTCTTGTTTAAAGGGGAATAAAAGCAAAAATGAACAAATGGGACTACATCAAACTAAAAAGCTTCTCAATAGCAAAGGACACCATCAGTAGAACAAAAAGGCATCCTACAGTATGGGAAAATATATTTGTAAATGACATATCTGATACAGGGTTAACATACAAAAAATATAAAGAGCTTACACACTTCAACACCCAAAAAGCAAATAACCCGATTAAAAAATGGGCAGAGCATCTGAACAGACACTCCTCCAAAGAAGAAATTCGGATGGCCAACAGGCACACAAAAAGATGCTCCACATCGCTAATCATCAGGGAAATGCAAATGAAAACCACAATGAGGTATCACCTCACACCAGTAAGGATGATCAACATCCAAAAGACAAACAACAAATGCTGGTGAGGATATGGAGAAAGGGGAACCCTCCTACACTGCTGGTGGGAACGTAAATTAGTTCAACCACTGTGGAAAGCAATATGGAGGTTCCTCAAAAAACTAAAAATAGAAATACCATTTGACCCAGGAATTCCACTCCTAGGAATCTACCCAAAGAAAACAAGATCACAGATTCAAAAAGACAGATGCACCCCTATGTTTATCGCAGCACTATTTACAATAGCCAAGAAATGGAAGCAACCTAAGTGTCCATCAGTAGATGAATGGATAAAGAAGATGTGGTACATATACACAGTGGAATATTATTCAGCCATAAGAAGAAAACAAATCCTACCATTTGCAACAACATGGATGGCACTAGAGGGTATTATGCTCAGTGAAATAAGTCAGGTGGAGAAAGACAAATACCGAATAATTTCACTCATTTGTGGAGTATAAGAACAAAGCAAACACTGAAGGAACAAAACAACAGCAGACTTACAGAACCCAAGGATGGACTAGCGGTTACCAAAGGGAAAAGGGCTGTGGAGAGTGGGTGGTAAGGGAGAGAAAAGGAGATTAAGGGGTATTACGGTTAGCTTACATAATATGGGAGTGCAGGGGTAAGGAAGTATAGCACAGAGAAGACAAATAGTGACTCTACAGCATCTTGCTATGCTGATGGACAGTGACTGTAATGGGGTATGTGGTGGGGACTTGATAATAGGGAGAATATAGTAACCACAATGTTGCTCATGTGAAACCTTCATAAGATATTAAGGTATGTATGTCAATGATACCTTAATAAAAAAAATGTCTTGCTTAAGATCATCTTACTAATTAGTAGTGGGTAAAACCCAAACCCACATCTCTGGAGCCTGTACCCTTCCTATTACACTTACCAACTGGGAAGAATTTCACATAACCCTAGCACTTGATGGGGAAATACTTGTTTTCTTCTACAAAAGGGGGGGGCTTATCTATAGTTTTAATCTTCCTTTTCCTTAAACTGCTTTTGAGACAGGCTGTTCCAATTATTTTGTCTTCTGAAGAGTAAAATTCCAGAGTAGATTTGCTAGTCATCTTTTAAAGTGGTAGTAGCCAGTATGGAGACATTCAGCAAAACTTAAGGATTGCCAGTAACTTCAGTTTTCTTCTTTAAACTTCTGCTAAAAATGAAATGCTCTGTCTTTTCTACATCATCCAGATTCAAAACCATTTTGCATCCTCCACTGCACTGTACATAGTAGGTGTTCAGCAGCAGATGCAAATAAATCATTGTTTCCTAAGCATCTGCTACATCTGTGTACTCTCTATTATTAATCTCTTGCTTTAGACAAATTCACTTTTTAAAACTTATCCTAAATAACAATATTCATGAAGCCATGATACTCTAGTTTTATCTTTTTCCTAATATACATTAATAAGTATATAACTATTCAAATTTCAGATATTGATATACTACCTAAAATCATCTCACTAGTACACACACTGGAAAGCAATAGAGTTAATGAGTGTTGAGTCAACCTTTGACTTTCTCCTGCACTCCCCATAAGAGCAATCACCAAGTCCGTTAAATGATCTTTATTGTGACTCTTGCACTTATTCTGACCTCTCATTCCAAGGTAGGTCCTCAGTATTTCATGCTTATCTTGGTTATCTTGATGCACGAGGCCCCTAGAAGTCTCCCTGCCTCCAATCTTTGCTCTATCCTATGTTAAAATCTGCATTAATTTCTTAATTTCTAAAAGCCACACAAATTTCAGCCACTCATGATATTTACCACACTCTGGCTTAAGCAGTGGGCTATTTGTAAACATTATCTAGTCTCTCTACTAGAGGTTCTTAGGGTAGGACTACATCTAATGTATCTTTGTCATGTAACTTACATATAGATGCTAAAATATTAGTAGTTAACAACAAAATAAAGCAGGCTCTTCAAGAAGCCAGTAAAATAACTTGAACTCCAGTCAATACACCTCAGAGGACTACCAAATCTATTTTAAGACTTTAGCCAAAAAATACTGTTCTCATAGATATTAAAGGTCAGTAATCTCATTACATTGCTTGAAATCAGTGGACCACTATTGAACATCTATGTTTGGCTACAGTGCACTCCACTGTGGATGTGGATTCCTCTTAAGCTGGTTGACTAGCTGACCTTGCATGACTCCCCAGTGTTACTGGGTGGCCCTTTACGGACTTCAGTTTTCCTATCTATGCAGTGACCTGAGATCTTTTCCTAGCTTAAAATCCTGTGACTTTTGGTCAAACCAAAGTGACTTTTATTCCAATACCCTAATTGGTGGGATTACCCTACCTACATCAAGAATAAATATAATCAAAGGAGTTAACCCTCTTCCAATGTTATTAAATCCTTTCACAGAATTTTGTTCCATCTACATATTTATAACAGGCTACGCACTTTATCAGACCATCTTTATAGGGTCAAAACAGATGCTCGAATGATATACTTTTCTAGGACTTAGAATGTATTAAATGGAGTATGAGGTATTTCACATATATTATTTCATTTAATCTTCCTGACCCTAAAAGGTAGGCATCTTTAACCCAGTGTTTCTCAACTAAGACAGCCCCTGTCCCCACTCCCACCTGGGCATATCTAGTAGTGTATGGAGACATTTCTGGTTATCTCAGTCGCAAGATCAGGGTGGGTTTGATCCTGGCATCTAGTGGGGAAAGGCCAGGGATGCTGCTACACATCCTACGGTGTACAAGATACCCTTCATCAACAAAAATTGTTGGGTGTCAATACTGCCAAGGTGGAAGCCTGGCTGGTATTATCTTTTAATGAAGTAATCAAAGAATTTGAGAGTTTAAATTGCTTGCCCAGAGTTACAAGACCCAGAAATCTCACTGAATGACAACAAAGCTAATGGCACATTCCATCACACATCAAATACTATGACTTTCTGATTTAATTTGTGTTTTTCCTTTCATCCTTTCCTCATTTAGTCTTGGTACTTCAGATTTTGCTAATCAGCATCAGCTGACCTCCCCCAGGAAAGGATTCAGAAAAAACTTTCACAGTCTCTTAGGTTAAATTTAAGAAATGTCTTCTTTTGTGCATTCACTGCATCCAACATATCTAGCTTCACTGAAGCAATTATCATATTGTACTGTGGATTATATGACTCTCTCCCCATTAGACAATAACCTCCTTCACAGAAAGGTTTGCCTCTTATTTTTGTATTCCTAGTGCCAAAGTATCTCAGCACAGATGATGCATTTTGTAAATATTTGTTAAACAAACAAAAGAAAACTGCCCAAATTACATAGTGTCTCTAAGGACATATAGCTACCAAATGACAGAATCAGGATTCAAATTCGAGTTTCTTCAGTGGCAAAGCCTTTAACTAAGTCTCAATGAAGCTAAAAATTACATGTTTATCTCCACTTTAACCTGCCTGTGGGAATTCTTCAGTCATAAACACATCAGGAATATAAATAAAGTTCTTGTTTTAAAGACAGTTTATAATTATAAGAATTTATTTTATGATTCCAATTTTAATATGTACATTCTATAAAAACTTGCAAGGTAGTCAGCATGTAATAAGAGTGATAATCTCTCCCAAATATGAGAATGATAAAGACACCACGGGGCTTTCATTTGATAGTCTCCCTGAATTCAACACTCACTACATAGAAATTGATGTTATTTTGAGTTGTCACAGAAACTGTTTATAAAAACTAAGCCAGGGTCTCTTAGGAAAAAAATAACTCACTTTAACTTTAGCTTTTATTTCTTCATTATCCCCTTCTCCATCATTGCGGGGTCCCATGCCAGACTCCTCCCAGATGTCTCTGTTTAGTACTGAATACTCTTCTAGTAGAGTGTCAAACAAAACTATTCGTTTATTCTTGAAGAAGCCATAAAAATAAGCATTGCTGTGGGAAGAGCGTTTAGATCCTAAGGAAAAGACAGTTCAAAGCATGGAAAATAATTAAAAAGTCTGGGGTCCTCTGGAGAGACTCCTAGAAACTGAATTACTGGAAATGACATTAACATTTCAAATTGCTTAACACCTGAAGAAAACAGTATCAACATAAGTCAGCACTGGCCATGGAGAGTACCTGTTCCCCTGCTTCTTGCCAACGACTATCTATGCTCAGTGCAGCTTTATAACAGTCAGTAATAGCCAACAGTAGCAGAATGATTAAATTATGGTAAAGCTGGAAAATGGAATTTTAACCAGCCAGAAAAAAATTATACTTTTGCAGAATTTTAACAAGATAAGAAAAAGCTCACCAATATACTGCAATGTATATAAAACCTCACGGACATAAGATTCCATTATTGTCAAGAAAAAAATACGTAAATGTAAATGTAAACACAAGCTTATTAAGAAATATACCAGTGTTTATCACTGGCTTCTAGAACAATGGATTTTTGTTCCTTCCTTTGTACTTTTCTCTTTTTGAAAGCTTTTAAAGTAAGCACATTAGTTCTGTAATCAGAAAAAAAATTAAAGCTATTTTTAAAAATACTACAAAAAAGAAAACTTAAATTTTTAACAGTGGCTAACAGCTGAATGATGGTAGATTTTTTTTCTTCTTTATATTTTTCTTTATTTCCTAAATATTCTACAATGTGTAGTGAATTTAGTGGTTAAGAATGGACTTTGGATTCAAATCTTGGCTCTGCCATGTATTAGCTGCATACATTTAAGAAACTTTCTTAATTTCTTCACATTTCATTTTCCTGTTTATGATACTAATATCTACTTTATTGGCCTGGATTAAAGATTACATAAGTAATTTTAAATTAATCAATTAGTAACTGCCTAATACATATAAACTACTACTACTTATATACTTTCCTTTTTAAAAGAAATGATAAAACACTTGTTTCTCTTGAGAACTTGAGAGGCCTCAGAAAATGTGAATTTTGTATCCATCATACTTCTAGTGTGAAGTATGTTTGGTAGTATATTTAGAATATAGCATGTTCTATATATAACTGTATGTTTGGCAGAAGGTTTAAAATAAAGCTTTGATAAATAGTAGATAGCTCATTCATTCATTCATTCATTCACTCATTCATTCACTTTTTGGTTTGGTGCCCAGAAGTTAAAAGCCAAATACATGGCTCAATTTTGTCAATAATATAAGACATCAGGATCTGGAGAGTCATGTACCATTCCGAGGTCTTAACGCTTCTATCTCAGTTCTATCTTCTCTAACTTTTAAATTAATTTTTATATATTTCTTAGATTGCCTTAAATTAGAAAGCAGGCAGACTGTATGCATATAAATAAAAGAAAATTAATGCTGTAATATCTTTCATTGGTCCAAGTATCTCAAAGTGTGGCCCAAGGAATACCTACCTACACAGTATCATCAAGGGGAAGTTGTTAGAAATTAGAATCTCTGGGAATGGAGCCCAGAAATCTTTTAACAAACTCTCTAGGGAATTCTAATACTTAAGTTTAAGAGTCCCTGTCCTAGACCATAAGCTTTTGTATCATGTTTGTTTACTGAGTGGATTAATGGTATACATGAAGTAATATACATGAGAACTCTGAAAACCAAAATATTTTATTTAAATGTAAGGCACTGCCATCTATGTTTTCATCTTTTGTTTATGATGTCTTATATTAATCAACCTCTCAGCAGCATTTGACACAGCTGACCACTCCCTCCTTGAAACACTTATTCTTCTCCTGCCTCCAAAGAAATATGACTTCCTCCTGGCTTTCTTCCTACCTCATTGGTCTCCTCTGAAGCTTCCTTTGCTAGCTCTTCCTTCCCTGCTGACTCTGACCTGAGCGTCCCTTCTCTTCCCTAAGCACCCTCATCCATGGCATAAACATCATCTACGTGCCAACTACTTTCATATCAATATTTCAGGCTCCAACGTCTCCTTAGAAATCCCTAGAACAGCTGCCTAGTTGACACCAATACATCTCCACATGGATGTCTAGTGCATATTTGTTTATATACTGGTTTGTGTTTTTTTTCCCTGCCCAATGTTGGAATCTCCTTCCAAAGTTTAGAGAATTTCACACCATGTAAGTCTAATAAGAGACTGCTTCTCATTTGAGAAACCTAAAAAGCCAAGATATTTGCTTCTCCAGCACTCCTGTCAGCTAGCCCCATGCCCTGGCTCAGTCAGTCATATGCACCCACTGGGGACTGAACAGTCAGCTAATCATGCAAAGAAGCAGGGCAGTGAGGAATTCATTCTGCAGGTGCCAGCAGCATGGATGTTAGGGGTACAAACTACTGAATTCAGCAGCAGGAGGGAACAGCAGTGTCCTTGCGGGTGTTCTGCAGTGTGGTTCTCATTTCCTAATCTCCCTATGGAACAGCCCATTTTCTAAGCCTGATAAACTTAACTCTCCTGGTGACTTTGTGAACTATCAAATATTGTTTCAGTCAGAAATTTTTCTGTCTAAATCAGCCACAATTGGTTTCCATTGCTTGCGTGGCACTACTGTTTGCAGAATTCTGATACAATATTCTATGGTTATCTCAAAATGTAACACATTCAAAAGAACTTAATTCCTGACTAACCTGCTCTTCTCTCAGTTTTCCCCGTCTCAGTAAATTACCATTTATCTAACTGCTCAGGCCAAAGTCTACATCATTATCCTTGATGTCTCCGTTTCCCCCTTATTCCTTGACATGTAACCTATTAGCAAATTCCATCAACTCTACCTCTAAAACATATCCCCAATGCATCCAGTTCTCTCCATAAATCACTACTTCCCTGGTCTAAGCCACCATTATCTCCTCCCTGGACTACTGCAGCAATCTCTTAAAGGCTCTCCCTGCTTCTACTCTTGCATCCCCCTACAATCTATTCTACATAGAGCAACCCAAATATTTTAAAAATACAAACCAGATCATGTGGCCTTCCTGCCTAAAATCTTCAATGGCTTTTTCCCCTGAACTTAAAATAAATCCAAGCTCCTTACCCTGATTTACAGAGGCCTACAATGGTCTGACTCTTGCCTATGTCTCAGATTTCATGTCATAGCACTCTTCCTACTATGTTGCAGCCACACTGGACTTTTGTCTATTTCTTGATGATAAAAGCTCTAGGTCTTCCCTATTGATCTCAGTATGGATGGCTCCTTCCTTCAGGTCTCAGCTTAAATCTATTTTCTCAGAAAGATCTTGTCTGAAGACACAGTCTACTCAGACATTCATCATCACATCACACTCGTTTCAGTTCTCTGCACAGCACTTGCTATCTGAGGTTTTTTGAGAGCCGGAATCTTGGCTTTTCACTGTAATATCCCTATTAACTTACAAATCCATCATGTGTGTTGTTATTGTTAATAATAATATTCATTCATTCAAATGATTTTTGAAAATTATTACCATTATTAACAACCACGAAATATACCTTACAGATGAGTAAAATTCTGTTTAGCAATGGTAAATTGCCCAAAGTTACACAGGTAATTTGTGATAGAGCTAGAATTCAAACCCAAGCCTACTGACTCCACAGCCTGACCACTGAAATGCTACCCCCCACCTGCTCAAATCTTTTTTTTTTTAACTCTAGCCAGTTTCCTTAAGGAAAAAATTTAGCATGATCTTCTTTTCACCAATCTATTCCTGCATGCTTCAATGATACCAGAATTAACAGGATCAGTAATAGCCAGCGTGCATAGTCTGTAGTATTTCCTGTACACTGTGCCCAATTCAATATAGTACTGTCACTGTGGTGATGGATACCAGTTTGGGCCAAAATAGCATAGTACTCTATTTCAGATTTCCTCAAGGCTGGGCAACTGTTGGTGAGGATGACCAGTTTCACTTTACCTTGTCTGATTATATTCAGAGTCTGCTTATATTCCAGCACAAAAGGACAAATCTTGATCTTCCATAAAGTCCCAGCTCATGTTGTAATTGTCCATAAAGCCTTCCCTATTTCATCTTAAATCACATGACACTGATGGTATATATCACACATCTTATCAATTAGCTGTCATTTCATGTTATCTATTAAGTGATCAGCAACTTAGGCTGCCCCTTCAGTAAAAGCCCCTCAGAAATTGTTCTACTGTACTTATTAGTGTGCTACTAGCTTAATATTAACTAAAATTGAATAAAATAGTTAATTTAGTGACTTCAGAGGCTAAACAAGTAGTATGAACTGGCTTATTCTACCATTTCTGCATAGAAATGTCCTAACTGTGCCTTTAATTGGGCTATATAACCTCAGAAGCTACTGGAGATTTCTATACTCTACTCATTGCTGTTAATTCATTCTTTCCAGCTGCGACCATTTCTGTTCTCCCCTGACCCTGCAATTACTTCTCAGACTCTACTCCTTCATCCAATATAACTGCTTTTCACTGGTGATTTTTTTAGTTTAGAGGAGGGATGGGGAAACTATAGGCCAAAGACAACATGTCACTTGTTTTTATAAATAAAGTTTTATTAGAACACAACCATGCTCATTTATGTATTGTCTATGACTGCTGTTGTACTATAAATAAGAGCAGAGCTGAATAAGTGGAATAGACACATCAGGTGGTCTGCAAAGCCTAAAATATTTACTGACTCGCCTTTATAGAAAACATTTGACAAACTGTGGTTTAGAGGAAGAAAAACTGAAACCTAGAAGGGTGAAGGAATTTGTCCAAGATCCCACAGCTGGGAGGGGCAGAACCAGACTCACTCACTCATATGGATTTTAATTTATAGATTCTGAAAGACTTGGTACCACACAACAGTTTAATTCTACACTTTTGCAGGCTTCCTTGAGACTTTAGTGGTCTTACGTAAGCTTACAGATGGCTTAACTCTCAAAAGCAATCATCAAAAAAAGCAGATAATAACTAATCTGAAGTATCCAATTGTACTACAGTTTTTGGTAATCTGTGAAGTCAGCATCCCCAGAACACTGGAAAGTTTTCTGGAGGAAACAAAGCCAATAACACTGGTTTTGTTTATGGGCCCCCAAACTAGTGCTAAATGGAATCTGACTATGCAGAAGTCCAACCTAAAGAAGTAGGCAGGTAACAGACGTGCATAAACCAATCTAATATACATCAGACAACAGGGAGTGATAAAGACCTTGGTCAAAAATTAAAAACAATGCTGTAAAGCCAACCAAACACAGCTGCAGGAAACAGTAGACTTTGGCATCAGGCCACCAATTTCTATCCCTTGACTATGTCACCAATTCCTATAATTCTCAAAAAGTCAAAGTGTAAAATCCTAGCCTTTACATAACAATTAAAAAAAAATCTGATTTGTTGTTTTACTCAAGTTTTAAGAACAAACAAATACTCAAATAAAAGAAACCACTCAGGTAAAAACTTCTTACCTCCAGGTACCCTTACCTTCAACAACATATACCTTAGTCAAAGGGAAGTCAATACTCTTTGCCATTATTTCAATATCTTGTTTAAGCTTTCCCTCAGGCAGAGGTGTGAATTTGTCAAATAAAGGGGCAATATAATCAGCATAGATTGTGACAAGCACCTGAAAAGTAAATGTCAGAACTTATGACATCATACAGAAAAACTCCTTGTTATACAGATGCAATTATATTAAAACAACTATGTGATCTCAGCCTTGAGAACAAAGGCCTTGTGTTATTTGCCCTGATATTCCCAGCCCCAAGTAGAACCAGATAGCAAGTTCCAATATCATTTGATAAGCTGAATCAAAACAAGTAGTCTCTAGGTAGTAATAAATGAAAACTCAAATTGTCTGTTCAAAACTATCTTGGGGATTTCTGACACTTCATAAGCACAATGTAACTTGGAATTTTGCCTTTCAGAGTAATCATGATAGACCTGAAGTCTTTGTTAAAACAGTGTTACTAAAGTGTATGACTGTATGCTGTCATTTGGTTGGTCTGCTAAAATTAATTACCTGCAGTTCACAAATGTACACTTTAATTAAAACAGCACTTCAAGAATTTTGTTCTTTGCTCTCTTTTGTTTCACTTCAATTTGCCATACAACAAATATGTTATGTGTAGATGCAACTAGCATCCATTTTCTGATCTTGATTCCACTAGTGGGAAGTGAAGCAATGAGCATCATAATTCAGAATAAAGTAAACCTCATCACCAGTGGAGCTGAAGAACTGAATGATGATATTTTCTGGGGACTGTGAATAGACCACGTTGTGTTGACATGTATGTGGTGTGAAGCAGTTCAGAATCTGGGAAAAAGAAGGGGAAAAGAAGATGTGAGAGAGGGTAAAAGAGGGGGTAGGGAAGTCAGAGGAAAAAGGAGAGAAGGAAGGAGAGATGACAGTCGGGGAGAAAAGAAAGGAGGGAAGGAAGGAGGAAAGAGAAGAAAGGGTAAAGAAGGGAGGAGGGAAAGGCAGGGGAAGGAAGGCAGCAAAGTAAGTTTATGCTTTCTTTTCCTTGACCATCTTAAATCTATCCTCTCTTCAAAACATCTATGATTTTTAGGCACTAGAGCTCAGTCAAGAGTCATTAAATTACCAAACTTAGTCATCTACTCTGGTGGCAACTCACAAATGCACAGCTCCAAACTGCCTGACAACTGGATCATTAAAGGTAACTAACAACGAGCTGCAAGCATCTTTAAAAATCAGCAAAAGAAAAAGAAAATGTATGGTCAGAGGCAACTCTCCTATTTCTATGCTGAAAAGCAGAAACCAAGAGGGGAATTTATAGGACCATCTATTTATATTTCATCTGCTTCTTCAGAACTGTTTACATGCTAATGATGTTTAAATCACAATTATCTCACCAAGGAACTTCTGTAAAAGAAAATGAAATGAAGATTTTACTTACCAGAGAAACTACTAATGTAAACAGCCAGGCATAAATAAAAAAATATTCACCCCCAATTTTAATAATATAAAGTAGAAGTGAAGACACAGGCAATAAAATGCACTGAGTCACAATAAATTTCTTGACTGCATCTTTCATGAAGAACCCGAAAGTCTGAAAAAAGAAAAGATCATCACAAGAAACTGAAAGTGCTTCTAAAATAGTGAGTACAAAGGATACATTACTAAGGCAATTTTAAAAATGAGAAGGCAGAGGGTCTATATGATGTGACCCAGGGTGACCTAAGACAGTAAGTAAATGTCCTGCATTTTACAGTTTAAAATAAATTCATTTGAATGATATTAGCTGAAAAACACTAGACATTAGTGTGAGAAGAGTTTATGGCATGACTTTAAACCACGATCTTTACCATATCTGCAGTTCCTTTTCCCTCAATTAATTCATGCTCTAAAATAGCAAATTATGTTTCAATTATTACCAGCAGAGGAAGAAAGCACAAAAGGCCTCCTCCACATGTTAAAAGAGAACATCTGCAATCTTAATCTTACCTGTTGATTGAAACCATGTTTTTCTTCTATCACAAAAGTATTATAAAGACTCCACGGTAAACCAGTCAATGCACTGAAAAGTGTAGCCAACAGCAAAAACACCAAGGACTGAGTAATCTAAACACAAAAAAACATAATGGCACTTTTATGGTGTAATATTAAATATTAACTCATTCATCAAATGGATTATTAGTGAACGAGTCGACACATATTGCTGAGTACTTACTCTATCTCAAAGCAATGTGTTTGATTCAATGGGAAATACAAGGTCTGAAGCAGCATCTCCACACGCAAGAGTTTACTTGTGAGAGGAGGAGGCAATAGAACAATTCCCCTTTTATTGCACGGGCACTATAAGAAAGCTACCTCAAGTCATGTAGACAAACAGTTAAAAGAACTAAAAAACAGCCAAACATGTTGGTGAATTCAAGGAAAGCATCAAGTTGAAAAGACTTGGGATGCCACGCTGAAAAAAGATAAATTGGGGAGATGGAGAGAAGAGACAAGGAGGAATTCCATACAGTTTGCAAATGAATGCAGGGAGAAAAGAGCATCCTGTAAGTGGAATATGACAAGATGACAGGCCTGGCTGGGACCAGGCAGAGAAACCTATAATAGGGCATCAGAAAAGCTGGGCCAGAGCAGGTGGGCAGTATGTGTCCAAGTTTTCACAAAAAGTCAAAGGTCCAATAAAGAAAATACTCCCAAGAATTACTTTGCCTTTACAATGGGTCCTAGGAGAGGAAAAGCCAAGAACTGCCTCATTTCATTTACAAACTTTTTCCTAGGATAGTGGAGGACAAGGGCTACTTAGTACAGGGTGTGCGGGAGGGGAGAAGAGCAGTAAGTACAGATGACCCGTGAACTGTGCAGGGCTTAGAGGCGCCGACTCCCTTCCCTAACAGCTGACAGTCTGCATATGACTTTTGACTCCCCAAGAACTTAATAGCCTATTGTTGATCAGAAGCCTTACCAGTAACATAGTCAGTCAATTAACACAAATTTTGTATGTTATATGTAGTATATACTGTTTTCTTACAATAAAGTTACCGAAAGAATGTTAACAAAATCATAAGGAAAATACATTTACAGTATTGTATTGTATATATTAAAAATCTGCATATAAGTGGACCCTTGCAGTTCAAACCTGTGTTGTTCAAGAGTCAATTGTACTTTCAAGGTTTCTCTGTTTATATTTAAATAGTCCATTCATCTAAGTGTTTATTTTTCTTGTAGGATATAAAATAAGAGCTTATTTTTTCTCAGTTGTCCTAAGAAAGTTTATAAACTATACTTTCCTCACTGATCTGAAATGTCACCTTTATCATATACCAAAATCTTACATATAGTTAGGCTTATATTAAAATTTCAGATAAATTTTAATATCTGAGATTAAAAGTTGACACTCATTATTTCACTTACTCAGAATTTTTCTAACTATTCTCTTCATTGTTTCAGATTAACTATAAAATGTTTTATCATGCACCCCTCACAAGCTGCTCTGGGATTATAACTGAGCTCTATTCCTTTTGTTTTAAAGTTCATGAATCTCTACTTTAATAATTTAATGTGGAATTTAGATAAGGTATTAATATCAAGTTTAACATTCTGTACAGAATCTATGATTTTTACCTTTTGAAAATCTAGACATCTGCTCATCTGTAGTATTTGAAACCCCTATTCTCACCAGCTTATCAACATAAATGATAAATTCAAATTCCTTCTGCACACTAATGTGTAAATGATCTATTTCTGGAACCTTGAATGAATTTAAAATAACTTGATTCCTTCTTAATATCTTCCTTATGTTTAAATAGCACTAGAAAATGAATAATTCTGTCAACAAACCATTTTAATTGCTGAAATAAGATGAATAGTATGTCTGCCTATTTTCCCATCCAAATGGCTTATTCTCTCCTTAAAACACTTAGATTACAAGATTTTAAATTATTTTGCCTGAATCACTAAAACAGCCTTTTAAGTGGCCCCCTGCTTACTATGTCACTCCCATTCCAATTCATCCTACATGTATATCAGATTAATCTGAAACCACACTTCCCTAATTAAAAATCTTTTAAAGGCTCTCTAATATTAAAGACTTCAAAAATATTTAAAAAAATTTTTACAATCTGACCTCAAAATGCTACTTCCAACTACTGTTCTATAAGACTCTTGTACTCCTAACTGACAACTCTGAACTCAAGTTTAGAAAGGTGATTAAGGAAAATATTCTAGCTGAAAAAAGGAGGTGTGACAGTAAAGTCACATTGGGGAAACCAGAGAGTACGCAATCTCCAGGAGCTTTCCTCAGAAGATCTCTAATTCTAATTCAGAAAATAGAATCTATCCTAGGAATAAGGTCTACTAGACAGTGAGGACAAGGAGTTTTAACTCATAGCTTCTCAAAGACAAGAAGATGGGGGCTCCAGCCCTTTCGGTGAACACCTCAAGGCTCCAGGACACACAACATTCTAAAGTCCTGCAATCACTTGGGGAAATGGTCTAGACTAACTCATCCTGAATGGATGATTCTTTCCCTGTCTGAGATAAACCTGTTCATTCCATCTCACATTCATCATGTGGCAACATTCTGAGTCATTAAATCCATTACTTGCTGAGATGGTCTGGACCATACCTCACTGTCAAAAAATAGAGATACTGATTGTATTGGTAGTTTGGGAAAAGCAGAAAGTCCTACCAAAAGACATTGTCTATGCCTAGGATAAACTGTTTTCTTCTAGGTCCACCTAATTTTTTCTTCTTTCTTTAATGTAGAAATTGGTTTTAATCATATAAGAAGTACACATACTCATTGTTGAATTTTCTTAAGAGATAGGCAAAAATAAGGAAATAAAAATTGCCAAAAAATTCTCTCCAGAGAAAATCACTTTTGGCATTCTGGTTTGTACTATTTCCGACTTCTTGTAGATGTGGAATTATATACACAAAGATATATGTACAAGGATGGGCACCACTGTATGCAATTAAGAAAAACTGAACCAATCTAAATGGTCATCACTAGGACAGCTCTAGTTACATAAAAAAAATCTCTATGGATATTCATACACTTTTATTTACTTATATTGCTTTATAACTTAATTTTTCCACTTAATAATAAGTTATATGAAATAGCAGCACAATAATATTTCTTCCCCGTCTGACTGGCAAAAATAAAAAGCCCATGTATAATAAGTATTGGTAAGGATTCAGAGAAAGGGTATTCTAGTGCTTCATAAACTATGAAATAATATAAAGCAGAAAAACTGTTTTAAGAGGCAATTTGGCAGCATGTATTAAAAATTTTAACTACACATAGCCTTTGACCCAGTTAATTCCATTAACCTTTATACATATGCATAAAGATTTAGGTGAAGGATGTGTATTATTTGTAATAAGGAAAGTCTGGAACGATCTACATCAGTAGAAAGTAACTAAATACACGACACCTGCCTGTGATGAATGTGAGCAGTCCTCACTTCACATTGCAGTGCAGTGCTGTAAAAATGACTGTACAAACTCCAACTGGGTAGAGCAATCTTGTGATCAGTATAAAAAATTATGATTGTTCTCTCCTAAATTTTGTAGTTAATACACTAAAGACTCTCCTACTGTAGGGATATGGAAAAAATAATAAAGCTGATATTTATTTAGTACATGTAATTTAAAACATAAGAACATTGAGAATTTGTGTTCTATTTCTTTTTTAAAAAAACTCAGGAGTAGTTGGAACAAATACTTGCCTTCTCATTATGTAACTTCTGATATGGACAGGGCATTTTTCTCTGCCATGCTGCATGGTCATATTCCTTTCAAAGGTTGGATTAGCTTCCAACATTACACCCTTTGAGCTTTCAGTGACATGAAATATCTTCGAGAGATCCTCTAATGTGAGCGCTTTTGCCAGTAATGCTACCTCTGGGACATGGTCATCCTTTCTGTCACAACTACTTCCCTCTATTTTAATAAGGTTGCCTTTGGTAAGTTCCTCTGGCTGTATACCTAGAGTCTCTCTAGTGGTGGCTGTGTCAGCATTCCCACAGTCAGCTACTTTCTCCTATAACTCCATGTATGTTAGATTTGAGTTTCAGTACACTTTCAACTTTTGAGTAATAACCTCTTTCAATTATTCATTAAAAAAAACCCATCATTTAGATTTTATAGCTGGGAGGCCAGGAGGCAATATAACTGCACAATTTGAATAACTAATAGTAGAAGTGTAGTGATCAATCACCAAAGGACTCTGAAAAAAAGTGATGTTATTGGCCACTAATCACTATGAGTGTCATACTTGTACAGTGTTTTGTGGACTAAAGAGCTGGCAGAGAAGTTTGTATTTTCTGCAATTATGCACACAATATATTGTGATAACTGAAATTTGAACTGTGTTGCTGAAGGACTGGAGTTATTTAACTAGACCATAGTAAATGAAATTTGTGCATACAAGAACTGTGCAAAGCAAGGACTGTCTACTAGTTCCATGCAGCCATTAAAGAAAACAAAGAGCTATATAAATGGACAGAAAGAGATCTCTAAAACATTGTTAAATGCAAAAATAATGTCTCAGAATGTTACATAAAATATGTCCCATTGAGGTAAGAAATATTTTTTTATATTCATATGTATATAGATTATGCTCAGTCATTCAAAACAAACATTTATGGAGAACTTACCCTGTGACTGGCATTGTTCTAGACAATGGTGACACAGCAGTGAAGAAAATATATAAGGTCTCCTTCCCCTGAGAGCTTAAAATTCTTGTCAGGGAAAATAGATAAGAAGTAAACAAATAAATAAGATAACTGCAGATACCTGTGAGTGCCTTTAAAAAGAAAATAAAATAAGGTGACCTGTTTCAATAAAGAGTAGCAGAAGGACGCTATTTTGGATGGAGTGGTCAGGGAAAGTCTCTCTGAGAAAGTGACATTTAAGATAAGACATTAATAAAGAGCCATTTATATTTAACAATGCACAGAATATACAATGAAATACCACACAAGGAAGGTCAGCAGCAAGAGTCTGTGAAGATACAAAGATATCACAGGAAGAAGAGGTCTTAGAAGAGTTTGATATTTTAAACTTAGGTATACAGAAAAGGGACACAGCATGGGGTGAATTAAAGCTCAAGGCACTTCATGTAGAAAAGATCCATCATTTCAAATAAACGATCAGGAAAGAAGAAAGAAACTTGGCAATTTCCAAAATATGTCAGGAAGCAGCATCCCGGCATTCATTACACGTGGGGAGTGGAGTTTCAGGTTTGAGGTTTTGCCCAATAACCAGAATTCCTGAAAGACTGGGTAGTTAATTCTGGAAGCTCAATAGTGATTGTAGGAAGATACATTCTGCCTAGATTTGAAGAACCTGATAAGTATGTGTGGCACAGAGCATCTGCTTAGTGTGGGTTTGTGGGTAAAATTGTAATATTTTCAGAATATCTCGCGGGGCTTTAGTGCATCTACATATCAACAGGCTTTCCTAGGGGGTGGAGAAAAGTAGTTCATCTCAATATCAATGGGTAATTACCTGGGCAACCCCAGGGCTTATCTGAACCCTGAACCCGAGAGGTTGGGGGGAGGTCTTGCTTGCTTTTGCCAGAGCAGGAAAGAGAAACAGCCCCAGACTACAATTTGTAAGCAATAAATGGGTTTTAAACTTTATTTCTCCTTTTGACTGATTTTGGTTTTAGAGGTAATTTGCCCTGGGTTTTCCTTTCCCCGGAGTTACAGGGTTCAACAAATTTCATGCTTCCCTTTTCACTGCACAGAGTTATTTCTGACAAGCAGCTGCCTAAATGACTGGCTCACCAACAAAATGTGAATGCACAAAGGACAGGTATCATTTCTGAGCAAAGGAAGTTAAGAAGGGGGTGTACTTTCTCTGCCCTCTCATTCCATCTTCCCTAGAACTCCGGGACACTCAGGGAATGGCAGAGCCATAAAATGAAAATAGACTGGGTTCTCTGGCTTACCACACAGAAGAATGTCACCCACTGGCCAAAAATATTCATACTGGGCTATTATGTGATCAGGCATTGAAATTCTGGAGTTTGCTACATTAACACAGTGTGAGTGGCCAAGGACTTTACAGACAGAAAAGCAAATCTAAATTAACTTTACAATAAAGTTGCCCAGGCAAAAAGAAAGACTGACAAATACATGCTAATGAATCACATACCTCATATTCTGGTCCAAAACTAGCACAGCCACAGAATCTTCCAGAGAGTCTCCAGAGATAAGGAATTCCTCCAAAGAGAAGAATAAGCTGTAAAAATATGGCATATTTTGGTTACATCTGAACAGTACTAGAAACTATCATGACAGCATTTCATAAAGAAAAAGGACAAAATAACTATCTCTAAAGAAAAGAAAGACCAGATTTTTTTGGGAAGATGGCAGTGTGAGTAGGGCAGGGGAAATCTCCTCCCAAAACCATATATATTTTTGAAAATACAAAAAATAAAACTACACCTAAAAGAGAGACCAGAGGATACAGTACAACAGCCAGGCTACATCTACATCTGTGAGAACTCATCACCTCACGAAGGGGGTGAGATACAAGCCGCAGCCCAACAGTAGCAAGGACTTACCCCACCCCAGGTCCCTGGCGGGAGGACAGGAGTTGTAGCGGGAAAGGAGTGGAAGCCCAGGACTGCTCAATACCCAGCCCTGATCATCCGCACCAGAAACGCAGACACACAGTGCATGGTGTGCTGGATACTAGGGAAATGGAACAGTAAAACCTGCGAGTGGGTCCCCGTAGTCGGCTCCCCTGGAACAAAAGAAAAGCAACTGCTTTTTGGAAGTCTTAAAGGGACAGGGGCTTCAAAGCTGGACGGAATCATCCTGGCACACTCAGCCCAGCAGCTGGAAATCCCAGGGAACTTCAGGTGCCCTAACTCCTGGGGTGGCAATGCAACTCTGAAGCCCCTCACAGTGATAAACAGCCTGCCGTTCATTCTCCCTCCCGAGCGGCCCCGGCACAGCAGCCTGGGAGCAGCCACGCCCACAGCAGCTGCCCAGAGCCTCCTCCCAGTGCGCAGTCACCGGGGCAGATCCAAAAGTTGCCGCCGGCGAGCAGCTGCCCGGCGCAGGCGGAGAAAGCCAGGGCAAGGCACGAAGGGGTGCCGTTCTCACAGAAGAGCACACCTGGTGCACCTGCCTCTACCCACAGGGCTCTGGGCTACCCCACCTGCCGTGGGTCAGGAAATTAAACTGGAGCCTGCTCCCAGTGTGCAGGTACCCAGCAGAGGCAGTGGAGAAGGGCAAGATGACCAGCAAGCAGGAAGGGACTTTGTTCTCCCAGCTAACAGACATGCTAACTGCCTAAGACAACCTCTATCGCCATGAAAAGGCAGAAGAATTTGGTCCAATCCAGAATCACCCAGACAACCCCTGAGAGAGAGCCAAGGGAGACAGATTTAACCAGTCTTCCTGAAAAAGAATTCAAAATAAAGGTCATAACCATGCTGATGGACCTGCAAAGATATATGCAAGAGCTAACAGATAAAGCTGGGAGGGAGAATACAGAAATAAAACAATCTCTGGAAGGACTTAAGAGTAGACTGGATGAGGTACAAGAGGCCATTGATGGAACAGAAATCAGAGAACAGGAATACAGAGAAGCTGAGGCAGAGAGAGATAAAAGGATCTCTAGGAATGAAAGAATATTAAGAGAACTATGTGACTAATCCAAACGGAACAATATTCGTATTATAGGGGTACCAGAAGAAGAAGAGAGAGAGAAAGGGATAGAAAGTGTACTTGAAGAAATAATTGCTGAAAACTTCCCCAATCTGGGGAAGGAAATAGTCTCTCAGACCATGGAAGCCCCCAGATCTCCCAACACAAGGGACCCAAGGAGGACAACATCAAGACATATAATAATTAAAATGGCAAAGATCAAAGACAAAGACAGAGTATTAAAGGCAGCCAGAGAGAGAAAAAGGTTACCTACAAAGGAAAGTCCATTAGGCTATCATTAGACTTCTCAACAGAAACCTTACAGGTCAGAAGAGAATAGCATGATATATTTAATGTAATGAAACAGAAGGGCCTTGAACCAAGAATACTGTATCCAGCACAATTATCATTTAAATATGAAGGAGGGATTAAACAATTCCCAGACAAACAAAAGTTGAGGGAATTTGCCTCCCACAAACCACCTCTACAGGATATTTTAAAGGGACTGCTCTAGATAGAAGCACGCCTAAGGCTAAATAGATATCACTAGAGAAAATAAGATCACACCAAAGAACTTAGACCAATCAAATACTAACTAAAGTCAAAAAATAAAATTAACTATGCACAAAAGCAGTCCAAGGAAACACAAAAGAGCACACAATAAAACACCTAACATATAAAGAATGGAGGAGGAAGAATAAGAAGGGAGAAAAATAAAGAACCATCAGACTGTGCTTATAATAGCTTAATAAATGAGTTAAAGTAGACGATTAGACAGTAAAGAAGCTACCCTTGAACCTTTGGTAACCACAAATCTAAAGCCTGCAATGGCAATAAGTACATATCTTTCAATAATCACCCTAAATGTAAATGGACTGAATGCACCAATCAAAAGACACAGAGTAATAGAATCAATAAAAAAGCAAGACCCATCTACATGCTGCTTACAAGAGAGTCACCTCAAACCTAAAGACACACACAGACTAACAGTCAAGGGATAGAAAAAGATATTTCATGCAAACAATAAGGAGAAAAAAGCAGGTGTTGCGGTACTTGTATCAGACAAAATTGACTTCAAAACAAAGAAAGTAACAGGAGATAAAGAAGGACATTACATAATGATAAAGGGGACAGTCCAACAAGAGGATATAACCATTATAAATATATATATATGCACCCAATACAGGAGAACCAACATATGTGAAACAAATACAGAATTAAAGGAGGAAATAGAATGCACTGCATTCATTCTAGGAGACTTCAACACACCACTCACTCCAAAGGATAGATTCACCAGACAGAAAATAAATAAGTAAGGACACAGAGGCACTGAGCAACACACTAGAACAGATGGACCTAATAGACATCTACAGAACTCTACACCCAAAAGCAGCAGGATACACATTCTTCACAAGTACACATGGAACATTTTCCAGAAAAGACCACATATTAGGCCACAAAAAGAGCCTCAGTAAATTCAGAAAGATTGAAATTCTACAAACCAACTTCTCAGACCACAAAGGTGTAAAACTAGAAATAAATTGTACAAAGAAAGCAAAAAGGCACACAAACACATGGAGGCTTAACAACATACACCTGAACAATCAATGGATCAATGACCAAATTAAAATAGAAATCAAGCAATATATGGAGACAAATGACAACAACAGCACAAAGCCCCAACTTCTGTGGGAGCGAAGGTGGTTCTAAGAGGAAAATATATAGCAATGCAGGCCTATTTAAAGAAGGAAGAACAATCCCAAATGAATAGTCTAAAGTCACAATTATTGAGATTGGAAAAAGAAGAACAAATGAGGCCCAAAGTCAGCAGAAGGAGGGACATAATAAAGAACACAGAAGAAATAAATAAAATTGAGAAGAATAAAACAATAGAAAAAAAATCATTGAAACCAAGAGCTGGTTCTTTAAGAAAATAAACAAAATAGATAAGGCCCTAGCCAGACTTATTAAGAGAAAAAGAGAATCTACACACATAAACAGAATCAGAAATGAGAAAGGAAAAGTCATAATGGACACCACAGAAATACAAAGAATTATTAACAAATACTATGAGAATCTATGTGCTAACAAGGTGGAAAACCTAGATGAAATGGACAACTTCCTAGAAAAATACAACCTTTTAAGACTGACCAAGGAAGAAACAGAAAATCTAAACAGACCAGTTACCAGCAACGAAATTAAATCAGTAATCAAAAAAATACCCAAGAACAAAACCCCGGGGCCAGACGGATTTACCGCTGAATTTTATCATACATATAGAGAAGACCTAATACTCATTCTCCTTAAAGTTTTCCAAAAAATAGAAGAGGAGGGAATACTCCCAAACTCATTCTATGAAGCCAGCATCACTCTAATACCAAAACCAGGCAAAGACCCCAACCGAAAAAGAAAATTACAGACCAATATCCCTGATGAACGTAGATGCAAAAATACTCAACAAAATATTAGCATACTGAATTAAAAAATACATCAAGAAGATCATACACCATAACCAAGTGGGATTCATCTCAGGGATTCAAGGATGGTACAACATTCAAAAATCCATCAACATCATCCACCACATCAACAAAAAGAAGAACAAAAACCACATGATCATCTCCATAGAGGCTGAAAAAGCATTCGACAAAATTCAACATCCATTCATGATAAAAACTCTCAACAAAATGGATATATAGAGGGCAAGTACGTCAACATCATAAAGGCCGTATATGACAAACACACAGCCAACATCATACTTAACAGCGAGAAGCTGAAAGCCTTTCCTCTAAGATCGGGAACAAGACAGGGATGCCCACTATCCCCACTGTTATTCAACATAGTACTGGAGGTCCTAGCCACGGCAATCAGACAAAACAAAGAAACACAGGGCATCCAGATTGGTAAAGAAGAAGTCAGACTGTCACTATTTGTGGATGACATGATGGGGTCACAGCAATCGGACAAAACAAAGAAATACAGGGCATACAGATTGGTAAAGAAAAAGTCAAACTGTTACTATTTGCGGATGACATGATATTGTACATAAAAAACCCTAACGACTCCACTCCAAAACTACTAGAACAAATATCTGAATTCAGCAAACTTGCAGCATACAAAACTAATACACAGAAATCTGTGGCTTTCCTATACACTAACGATGAACTAGCAGAAAGAGAAATCAGGAAAACAATTCCATTCACAATTGCATCAAAAAGAATAAAATACCTAGGAATAAACCTAACCAAGGAAGTGAAAGACCTATACCCTGAAAACTACAAGACACTCTTAAGAGAAATTAAAGAGGACACTAACAAATGGAAACTCATCCCATGCTCTTGGCTAGGAAGAATTAATATCGTCAAAATGGCCATCCTGCCCAAAGCAATATACAGATTTGATGCAATCCCTATCAAATTACCAGCAACATTCTTCAATGAACTGGAACAAATAGTTCAAAAATTCATATGGAAACACCAAAGACCCTGAATAGCCAAAGCAATCCTGAGAAAGAAGAATAAAGTAGGGGGGATCTCACTCCCCAACTTCAAGCTCTACTACAAAGCCATAGTAATCAAGACAATTTGGTACTGGCACAAGAACAGAGCCACAGACCAGTGGAACAGGATAGAGTCCAGATATTAACCCAAGCACAAATATTAACCCCATACACAAAAGTAAATACAAAATGGATCACAGACCTGAATGTGAGTCATGAAACCATAAAACTCTTAGAAAAAAACATAGGCAAAAATCTCTTGGACATAAACATGAACAACTTCTTCATGAACATATCTCCCCAGTCAAGGGAAACAAAAGCAAAAATGAACAGGTGGGACTATATCAAGCTGAAAAGCTTCTGTACTTCTCATCTTAAGGAGGAGGAAAATGAGGTTCAGAAAGGCTAAACTACTCACTCAGAAACACTGAGAAATTGGAGAAGCAACAATTTGAATTTTCTACACTGCCCTCCTCCACTCCTCAGCCATTCCATTTCTTAACAGAACTCTATTCAATCTCTGAGATATCAGGAAAGTGTGTCTCAGAGAGCCTGGACATTTTCTCTCTGGGTCCTGTCACATTTGTGTGAACAGCAGCACCTGTAATTCGTTACACACGGCCTCTGCTTACGTTCCCTCAGGTAGAAAGTACCAAGGCCAGACGATGGTGACATGAGTATATACATATGTCAAAATTCTTTAAGCTGTGCACAAAATATTTGGGCATTTTATTGTATATACCTCAGTATAAAAAACAATTAAAAAAATAAAACACCAAACAAAAATGTACTGACACAGACAAAAAAAGCCTAATCAATCTTTGCACTTATGCTTTGTGACCAAAACATACAAGCCTATTAATTTTCATCAACACAAAACAGGAATTAGTGTACCTGTTTTCAAACAGAACAGGATTTCAAAGTAACACAAAATGCTTTCTACCAATGGTAAATAAAGCTATTAATTCCCCAAAGATACATTTATCACATTCATGATGTAGTACCTGGAGTTTCAAGAATAGTTCCTTAAATATAATTTTAAAGACTTGGAAGAGCACAGTTTGAACCCCAGCTCGCCCATTTATTAGTGTCACCTGGCCATTAAATGGACAAGTCATTTAATTTCTTGGAGCCTTTACTTTCTCATCCATGAAAAGGAAATAATAATGCCTATGTGTTCAACCTCAGGGCACTGTTGTATACATCAAAGTGACAAATATAAAAACAATATATGAAGTGAAAATCACTACCTATACAATTATGATGAAGCCTATTCCTAATCCCAGTTTTAGCCTATCAGTACTGCTTCTAGTTTGAGCCACAGCACATTACAAAGCTCTCATTCGGTAGCTGTGTTCTACCCACCTCTCTCATCTCCTAGAGCAAACTCAGCCATTCCTGTGATCACCAACTGCAACAACCAAGCTACTGCCCACCTTTCCTGGAACTGCTGACTAGTGACAACCAAGGAGACTAAAAAGGTATTTCTTGTCATTTTATCATGGCCCTGAGGGGGTAGGTCAAAAGCCTTCAAAGAATTAACCATCAATGAGGAAAGAGGAGAGTGTCTAAACTCACTATCTCTACTCCAACCTTACTCTGAGGGTTGATTTCCTACTTGGGCCCTGGCCCTAGCAGAAGAAATCCTTCAGATAAATTAACCAAAGCCAAGTATAATCCACAATAATGCTACCTTTCCTGGCTTGGCTGGAAGGCATCAAGTTTTAATGTTAATCTTCAGTATCTCAGTAACTAAAGCAGGCCTGGAGTAGCAAAAATATACAAAATCAATATTGAAAAGATTAATTACTAGCAATCACTGCGTACTCCAAAAGACAAAGCAATTTTATTTTTTAATTTTTTTAGATCATTTATTAATTTTTCTAAAATACCAAGATTTAACTCTTTCAGAAGCTTTGGGATTTTCCACCATCTTGAGGAAATGGGAGAAATGTCTAATAACTTGGTTCTAACCACACTAATCTTATTTTTCCATATTTGTGAAGGACAGTTTTGTGACTAGCTAGACAATTTTGACATCATTTAACAAAGCACAAATGGATGGGTTTCTTCTCTTTAATTGATTAAAAAATTATGTTAGCCAATCTAATTTATTTTCAGGTTAGTCATCTTTCTCTAGTGGTTGGTACTGGGGGATCCAAGAATTCGGGAGAAACAGTAATGATAATCATGATCATGATGATAAAAGTAATAATAGCCAACACTTACAGAGCCCTTACAGTGGATCAGATACTGTTCTAGACATCTTAAATATATTAACTCATTTAATCCTCTCAACACTATGAATGAGGCATTATGACCAAACAATTTTAACAGATGAGAAAACTGAGGCACCGAAATATTCAGTGACTTACTTGAAGTCACACAGCTGGTATGGCAAAGCTGAGTCAAACTCAAGCCAACTGAGTTCAGAATCTGCTCTTAACAACACCATGCACTTTCAATTGTTTTGGGGGTTGGAAAACCAAGAATTGATTTTTGGAGGTGGAAAAAAAATCTACTCATTTTATGAATAGAGCACAAATATACATACCTACAGTATAGAAACAGAAATAGAATACATCAGCAGTATTAAAATTTCATGGAGGGGAGATTAGGACAAAAGTGTCTAAAAAAGTGCAGGGTCAGAGGTCAGGGGAGATTATGAAAAAAAGACTGAGAAACACTCCTCTATACTATACACTATACTGTACAGACTCTTGTCTTTTAGCATGCAGGTAAGATTGGTCCTGTATTGCTAAGTAAAAATTATCTGTCACTCATTGCTTTATTCAATAAATATGAATTATGTGCTTATTATATGCCAGGCACTAGGTATAAAATGATGAACAAGACCTTAAAGTACCCTTTCTTTAAGGAACTACCAGTTTGTCAAAGAAGCAGGTAAATTCAACACAAAATGGTAACGACTCTGATAGGAAGAAAGATAGGTTGCTATCCCACCCAGACTTGAGAGACAAAGAAGTTTCAAATGGTTTCTTAGAAGAATGTCTCTATGCCTCAACACCCAAAAAACAAATAGCCCAATTAACAAATGGGCGGAGGACCTGAACATACATTTTTCCAAAGACGAAAAGCAAACGGCCAACAGACACATCACTAATCATCAGGGAAATGTAGATTAAAACCACAGTGAGGTATCACCTCACACCAGTTAGAACGGTCACTATCCAAAAGACAAGAAAGAGCAAATGCTGGCAAGGATGTGGAGAAACGGGAACCCTCCTACACCCTTAGTGGGAATGTAAATTGGTGCAGCTGCTCTAGAAAGCAATATGGAGGTTCCTCGAAAAACTAAAAATGGAAATACCATTCAATCCAGTAATTCCACTTCTAAGAATTTACCCAGAGAAAACAAGATCCCTGATTCAAAAAGATATATGCACCCCTATGTTTATTACTGCACTATTTGCAATAGCCACGATATGAAAGCAATCTAAGTGTCCATCAACAGATGAATGGATAAAGATATGGTACATTTACACAATAGAATATTATTCGGCCATAAAAAGAAAAGAAATTCTGCCATTTGCAACAACATGGATGGATCTAGAGGGTATTATGCTCAGTGAAATAAACCAGGTGGAGAAAAACAAATACCATATGATTTCACTTATTTGTGTATCATAAAAACAAAGCAAAACAGAAGGAACAAAACAGCAGTAGACTCGCAAACACTGAGAATTAACTAGTGGTTACCAAGAGGGAGGGGTAGGAGTTGGGACGGGAGAGGGGCAAGGAGGGGGTTAAAGGGCCACAATAACTCACAATCCCAATATAAGTAGGTCATGGGTATGGTAGTACAGCATGAAGAATACAATGACTCTGTAACATCTTTCTATATTGATAGATAGTAACTACATTAGAGGGGGTAAGAGTTTAATAATGTGGGTAGCTGCTGAATCACTGTGTTGTACATCTGAAACCAATATAAGATTGTCTATCAATGATAATTCAATTTTAAAAAAAAGGAAAGAAAAAGAGAATGTCTCTGCCAGATCCTAATGGAAGAGTAGAGATCATCAGCCACCAATGAGAGAATGGAGTTGAAGAGGGAGGGGAAGAGCAGCCCAGACAGAGATGCCAGCATGTGAAAGACTCGGAGTCATAGGACACCAAGCTGGGTATGAGACAGACAATGAAGAAGGATAAAAAATTCGGGGGAAAGAAAAAAAAGATGAGGCTCAAATAAGCAATGGTGAGGTCAAAAAGGACCTCATAAACCCATGCCAAGAAATCTGGACTTCACCTGGAAGGAAATAGTAAGCCAGTAACAGATTTTCTGTAGAATATTATGACTGGAATTATGCTTCAGTATTCCTTTAGCTGCAAAGTGAAGGACAGGTTAGAGGGTTAAGAGAGGCAGAAGACAAGTAGGACTGTCGCAAGAAAAACTTACAACATAAGGTTCTTTTTCACACCTGGCCTCAGGGTCACAGTTGCCATATTCTATCATTTTCAACTGACTAAACAGGCACATTTCTGCCTCTTTTGCTCCATACCCATTACTACCAAAAACAATGGTTAGGAAAGCATTCTAGGACTTGTAGAAGAGGTACCTTTGCAGTCACAAAAATTCAAAATGAAAACAAACATTACAAAGTATCAAACAATTTGACAGATTGTCTCTCCAAGAAGTAAATTACTCACAGTGCCTTCAATCTCTGAATAGAGTCCTGACCAGAAGCTGAAATTACTTTTATCCAGCTGATACAGTCGAGATTTTTCAAATGTTTCTGAATCCATGATCTGTCCTAACTCCAGTGGTACATGAGTTGTTGTTTTATAGATCCGTCTCTGAAATATTTTTGAAGAAAACACTTGAATGAAGCAGTCAAAACAACTCATAATTTATTACTATAGTCATTTACAATCAAACATTGAATAGTTTACAGAATTAACCTGTTATTTAAGGCTACTTAATTTGCTTTATACATACACAAATATTGCATTTGACCAAGTACACTGACTACTAAAACAACTGATCCAGTTGAGTAAAAGCAAAACAAGAGAATCTGAGGCTAGCTGACTAAGTAAAATTAAAATCAGGGTTGTCATCACACCTCAGTTGGACGTGTAAACCAAAATTATATCACAAAGGGTATCCCTCATTCCAGGTATAACAAAGATTCTGTAACACAGAAAACAAATTTGTGTCAAGAAGGAATCAAATATGCTAAGCATAAGCACTAATGGATATTACAATGTTATTAAATTTGATCCTAAAAGCCAAATTAAGGAAAATTTGAGGAATGACAGATAGAAACATATCAGGTCTTCAAGAAAGACAAACTTTCTCATTATACAAAATTATAAAAGATAATTTCAGCCCATAGGACGTAATAGAGGACAGATACTAAATATAATAGACAACATCTTCTACAATGGTTTTATAACAAATGGCTTCTCTAAATATTATGCACCTTAACAAACCCTCAACAAAAGGCATTAAAGCGTAACTGAGTAAAGACACTACCAAAAAGTAATTACTATAACTAGACTTAAGATAGATAGATGTTCAATACCCCACCCACAATTTAGATACTACATACTGTGTATTTCCTTTATACAAAGGATCTTCTCTAAGCATAGAAGATTCTGTACTAATGAAGCTATCCAAGGAGATAAGTCAGAGAACCTAGTGCTATATACTTTAACAGCTCTTTGAATAACCTGAACTAATAGGTTATCAAAATATAACCAAGATACTAACAGATACAGAAAAATTTTTAAAGTTTCAATTTAAAAATTCATGTGAAAAAAAAATTCATGTGGAATGGCATTATTTACAATAGCCAACATATGGAAGCAACCTAAGTGTTAATCAATAGATGAATGGATAAAGAAGATGTGGTACATATATGCAATGGAGTATTACTCAACCATAAAAATAGAATGAAATTTGCCACTGGACCTAAAGTGTATTATGCTAACTGAAATAAGTCAGAGAAACAAATACCAAATGATTTCATTTATATACAGAAAAAATAAATAAAATGAACAAATAAAACAGAAGAGTCATAAATACAGAGGAAAACACTGGTGGTTGCCATAGGGGAGCGGCTTGGGGGTATGGGCAAAGTAGGTGACAAAGAGGATAAAGGGAATAATGAGGTACAAGCTTCCAGTTATAAGTAAATAAGTTACAGAGATGAAAAGTACAGCATAGGAAATAGTTAATAATATTGTAATAATTTTGTATGACAAATGGTAACTACACTTACCCTGGTAAACATTTCCTGATGCATATAATTGTCAAATTGCTATGTTGTACACCCGAAACCAACAGAATACTGTGTCTCAATTACAATTTAAAAAGATTCATTTGATGAGGAAAAAGACTGTAATGCTCAAGAAAATGAGTTCCAGCAGTTGAAAAGGAGAAAGGTTTTCATAACCATCATGGCTGACTTAATTCAATGGCAACATAGAAGAGTGTAGGGAAAGCAAACCATCCGTAAGAGACTGCAAAAAAGCTATCAATTAAATTTAAATTTCTTTTAAAAGTTCAGCTCTCTAACCCATCAAGCTGATACAATTACCTCCAGGCAACTGTAAAGAACTTTCACTTTGTTTTACTGTTATAACTGTTTAAACATAATTAATAAAGATGCTTTTAAGAAAAACAAGAAAATACTGCTCTTTGGATAAAAACAATAATTTTTTTTTTTTTAAGAAAAAGTTCAGGAAGGATTGGGAAATCTTTATTTTCATAAAATGGTTTCCTAACACTGTGGCTGACACAATTACATAAATGTCATGGGTAAGTTGTGACTCTAAAATTTTTAGCATCTCTCTTTTGAAGGACTTATGGGTCACCGCCAAAGATGTAGGAGGTAAGTCTGGGCCCGAGGATCCTTAAGGAAGCTGTAGGGCACGCCTGACAGGCGGCAACCCTGTCTTCCCTTTCGCCAGACCGTAACCATCCTGGGTTCCATGATAACGCTGCGTAAAACCTCCCTGCGGCACCAGATCCCCTCGAGGTCATGCCCGCCATCGAGTCAAGTTAGGGAACTCAGTAGCGGCCCGTAGGGTCGAGGCTGGGGCTGTGGCCTCGGTATTTATCCAAGAACTCAAGTCGACACCAAGGTTTGGCCTAGGATTAGGCGGGTGTCGGGGTCAGGTGGGCCCTGTCTAAGCTCACCTGCCGCTGCGCTAGGAAGGTCTCCCAAAGATACACTGTCCAGGAGAAGAGCAGCACCGCTCCGAAGATACTCTTCTCGGCGGGCATCTCCCACATCGCGTCCAGCGACGCCCACATCCCCATGGCCACCTGGTGCCGCCGGCTCCTTCGGCGTGCACTGGTGCCACACCGACACCAGTCCCTCAGAGCGCCCCCGCAGTGTCACAGCAATATCTGTCCCTTCCGAGCGCCCAAGCACCAGCACCACCCCCCATCCCACCGCCTCCACGCAGCCGGCAGTGCTACACACTCTCCCACTCGGCGACGCTCCGTAGTGAGCCCGATTCCGGCTAGAAAAGCACAAGTCTCGCCTTCTTCACTTCCGGCCCGAGCCCAGATCCCGAGTTCCGGCCTCCGCCAGCCCCGCCTCCGACGCTCGACTTTTGTTCTGCAGAACAGCGTTTCACCAACAGTCTTCCCCTTCTCCTGCGCGCCGGGTTCCTTCTGAGGGTTCCGGCCTCCTGTCTGGGCCCCGCGGAGCCGCAGAGCTCTGCGCTGTTTAGCCTCCTAGTGGCAGTGGCATCCCTTCGCCCGGGGCTTTCCCGGCTGGGCTGCGGCCTGTACCACACGTTCCCGGGCTGGGACAAGCTGATGCCAGGGTTCTTGTTCACGGGGTCGAAGAATGAACTTCGCCAATACTCAAGGTAGGAGAGCAAGGTAGAGGCTTTTGTTTGGAGAGAAAGCAAGAGGACAGAGCTCCTGGCTCAGGCCAGGAAGGGGACAAGAGAGCCCCGGGATGGTGCATTGTCTAGGGGATTTATAGGCTGTGGAGAGACAAAGGGCTAGGGATGTACACCTGCTGAGTAGTTCCAAAATGTTTACCCTTTGAAGAAACACTAAGTTTCTTATTAGTCTTCCTGGTTATTTACAAGAATTTTACTGCTCTGATTTCCTCCCAGGATGGCAGCTCCCTGGTCTGGGAGCATATCAACAGAGGAAAACACTGGTGGTTGCCATAGGGGAGCGGCTTGGGGGTATGGGCAAAGTAGGTGACAAAGAGGATAAAGGGAATAATGAGGTACAAGCTTCCAGTTATAAGTAAATAAGTTACAGAGATGAAAAGTACAGCATAGGAAATAGTTAATAATATTGTAATAATTTTGTATGACAAATGGTAACTACACTTACCCTGGTAAACATTTCCTGATGTATATAATTGTCAAATTGCTATGTTGTACACCCGAAACCAACAGAATACTGTGTCTCAATTACAATTTAAAAAGATTCATTTGATGAGGAAAAAGACTGTAATGCTCAAGAAAATGAGTTCCAGCAGTTGAAAAGGAGAAAGGTTTTCATAACCATCATGGCTGACTTAATTCAATGGCAACATAGAAGAGTGTAGGGAAAGCAAACCATCCGTAAGAGACTGCAAAAAAGCTATCAATTAAATTTAAATTTCTTTTAAAAGTTCAGCTCTCTAACCCATCAAGCTGATACAATTACCTCCAGGCAACTGTAAAGAACTTTCACTTTGTTTTACTGTTATAACTGTTTAAACATAATTAATAAAGATGCTTTTAAGAAAAACAAGAAAATACTGCTCTTTGGATAAAAACAATAATTTTTTTTTTTTTAAGAAAAAGTTCAGGAAGGATTGGGAAATCTTTATTTTCATAAAATGGTTTCCTAACACTGTGGCTGACACAATTACATAAATGTCATGGGTAAGTTGTGACTCTAAAATTTTTAGCATCTCTCTTTTGAAGGACTTATGGGTCACCGCCAAAGATGTAGGAGGTAAGTCTGGGCCCGAGGATCCTTAAGGAAGCTGTAGGGCACGCCTGACAGGCGGCAACCCTGTCTTCCCTTTCGCCAGACCGTAACCATCCTGGGTTCCATGATAACGCTGCGTAAAACCTCCCTGCGGCACCAGATCCCCTCGAGGTCATGCCCGCCATCGAGTCAAGTTAGGGAACTCAGTAGCGGCCCGTAGGGTCGAGGCTGGGGCTGTGGCCTCGGTATTTATCCAAGAACTCAAGTCGACACCAAGGTTTGGCCTAGGATTAGGCGGGTGTCGGGGTCAGGTGGGCCCTGTCTAAGCTCACCTGCCGCTGCGCTAGGAAGGTCTCCCAAAGATACACTGTCCAGGAGAAGAGCAGCACCGCTCCGAAGATACTCTTCTCGGCGGGCATCTCCCACATCGCGTCCAGCGACGCCCACATCCCCATGGCCACCTGGTGCCGCCGGCTCCTTCGGCGTGCACTGGTGCCACACCGACACCAGTCCCTCAGAGCGCCCCCGCAGTGTCACAGCAATATCTGTCCCTTCCGAGCGCCCAAGCACCAGCACCACCCCCCATCCCACCGCCTCCACGCAGCCGGCAGTGCTACACACTCTCCCACTCGGCGACGCTCCGTAGTGAGCCCGATTCCGGCTAGAAAAGCACAAGTCTCGCCTTCTTCACTTCCGGCCCGAGCCCAGATCCCGAGTTCCGGCCTCCGCCAGCCCCGCCTCCGACGCTCGACTTTTGTTCTGCAGAACAGCGTTTCACCAACAGTCTTCCCCTTCTCCTGCGCGCCGGGTTCCTTCTGAGGGTTCCGGCCTCCTGTCTGGGCCCCGCGGAGCCGCAGAGCTCTGCGCTGTTTAGCCTCCTAGTGGCAGTGGCATCCCTTCGCCCGGGGCTTTCCCGGCTGGGCTGCGGCCTGTACCACACGTTCCCGGGCTGGGACAAGCTGATGCCAGGGTTCTTGTTCACGGGGTCGAAGAATGAACTTCGCCAATACTCAAGGTAGGAGAGCAAGGTAGAGGCTTTTGTTTGGAGAGAAAGCAAGAGGACAGAGCTCCTGGCTCAGGCCAGGAAGGGGACAAGAGAGCCCCGGGATGGTGCATTGTCTAGGGGATTTATAGGCTGTGGAGAGACAAAGGGCTAGGGATGTACACCTGCTGAGTAGTTCCAAAATGTTTACCCTTTGAAGAAACACTAAGTTTCTTATTAGTCTTCCTGGTTATTTACAAGAATTTTACTGCTCTGATTTCCTCCCAGGATGGCAGCTCCCTGGTCTGGGAGCATATCACTCAAGACTGCCTGCTTTGCTCCCAAGGTGGGCTGACTTACTGTCTGTTTGTTAAGAAACTTACTTTTTAACTAATTGGGTTTTAAGAGGGAAGACTTCCAGTCTTTACTATGTTGTTTTGGGCTTGCTTGCTACATTGCCCAAGTTGCAACAAATCATTTGTTTAGGTCTGAAGAAAGAAAAGCAGCACCTGGGTAAAGTTAAAAAATAAGCTGGGCCCTCCAGTAGGCCAAAGCAAATCTCACAATGGATTATCTTGCTTTGTTTTTTTCCAGAGGCCCTCACCCTACTCAGTCTAAGCCCATGGTCCCTGTCTCAAAGCCCCACTGGTAGTCGGGACTAAGTGGGAACTGACGCAGAATGGGCTGCCACCACCGCCCTGAGGAAGCTGGGGAGAACACGAGAGGAGCCGACTTTGCAGGCTCTAGAAATCATTCCTCTAAACTGTGCTGTTAAGACTGTATGTTCATCCCTGGGTTACCTTAAGACAAAAGGAATAGTTAAGAGGGAGGCTAGGCATTGTAAGTACAATACTTTGGCCCGTATTGGGACTTTCTGAATTCAGACATGTTACAGGGAGGGCAGTAGTGAGATTTTCATTTAAACATCTCTTCCATCCCAAGTGAAGCCAGAGGCAGCATTTTGCTTAAGAAAATGACCTGGAGCAAGGCAAGGATAGCGTGGGTTATCCGAAGAAAGGGTCTTATTTTATCTAGGGACAGACTGATGCCAAAACTCAGTGCCACGTCTACCTAGGAATTTAGAAGTGAAATGTGGTCACAGGGACGCCTGTTAACATGTTTTTTGACTTGAAAAGTGAAAAATTTTCTGACTGAAGATAAGTCTGATTTGGTTAATTGGCTTGATAAAGAGATCGGCTTTGCTAATTACATAATTATTACCTACAATAAATTGAGCTAAATCTGCAGCTGCAACTAAAATATATTTAAATTACAGTGATCTTGTAATGCTAAAGATGTGTTGAAATTAACAATATCTCGAATTTCCCAACTCTTCTTAAATGCCTCTAAGTGAGAGTAATCAGTATAATTAAAAGTCACTTGAAAAAGAGAAGGACTCTAATGACAGGAAAACAAATTATTTTGCAAGTCAGATTGTTTCCAGTTCTTTGCTTTCAACAAAATTCGTGGTGGACCTAATTGAACTGTTAGCTGTTGAAGGAACACATACTAGATTACTGGCATGTAACTCAGAAGAAAACCAAAGAATTGACATTCCTATTACAAAACTACCAGCATTCACAGCTAAAAATGTAATTTCTCAGCACTGTATGTATGAAAACAAATGAAAATAAAGTTGAATGCCATTAATCTACCAGTAAGAAATAGTCATTCAGATACATGAATTTGTGGGAAAGCCCCATCCATCTCTGGGAGATGCATTTCCAGTAGTTTACGTATCATCAAAATTTGTAATTATGTCATTTTGAACCATATATATTAAAGATAATTGTAATGATTCCTGAATTCAGAAGAATTCTAGTACACAGAGCCATACAATTTTTTTTAACTTTAACATGTACATACTTTTATCACCAGGAAATGGTCGATAAAAGGTTTTTACACATAGAAGGTATTATTTTAGATAACATTTTATGGGGGAATAGAACATAAATATAAGTTTGAGATAATAAAAGGACAATGAAGAATTACTGAATATTAAACTCATTTGTGTGATTTTAAATGGATGACCATGGTCATTCAATTGTTATGTAGATTTTCCCAGATACATTGTAAAAAGTGATTTGACAGTTTTATCTTAAATTGTCATTATTTACAGTTTGCCAGAATTTGCATCCAGTGCAACTATTTAAATTTATGGTGAAAACTGTTATCAACTTAACAATATGAGGGAATAAACACTTTCAAAATTCTCTCCTTGGAGTACCATTGGAATGCCCTCATCAGTCTTGTCTTCACCTGTCTGGGTCCATCCAGACTGCTGCAGTCAATCCGAAAGCCTCAGAAATTCCTGCTACCTAAACATAGAGTCAGGCTGCTTGAGGGCCTGTCACAGCTGCGCCACAGATTAGCAAGTTACCTAACCTCTCTGTGCATCAATTCCTCATCAGTAAAACAAGAGGAATAGTACTTACCTCTATTGCAAGGGGCAAATGAGAAAAATCATGTAAAGTTCTTAGCAATTTATCTGGCTCTGAATAAGTGCCCAATAAGCTACTAGCCCCCTCCTACTTGGAAGAATCACATCATACTGTCATTCTGTCACCGTGTGTCTGAAGAACTAGAGGAAGGGGAATCTACACCAGTGTTCACCACTCTAGGGAGGAGAATCCTTATCTTCTAAAGGATGTGTATGAACCTTCTAAAAGTCAAGATTGGAATTCACTCATTCAACAAATAGTGAGTGTCTGCAAAGTACCAACACTGTTCTAGGTGCTGGGGATAGAGCAGTGAACCAAACCAAGCTCCTTTCTCTCCTGTAGCTTTGTGGGCTGGGGTAGATGGAGGAGGGGGTTGATAATAAGCAAATATGTAACAGTAAATGTGGTGGTGATAGGGGCTATGAAGAAAAAGAGATAGGGGGACACAGCATGTTGGTATGAGGGGCACCACTTTATATAAGATGGTCAAGGAGGATCCCTCGGATTATCAGATGTTTGACACAGACCCAAAGAAAGTAAGAGAAGAAGTCATGTAGGTATCTTGGAAAAGTGTGCTATGTATAGGGGAATAGCAGACCCCACAGGCCCTGGGGTCAGACAATACTTAGCATATTTGAAGAATAGTAAAAGGGTGTGGAAAGAGTGGAGAGATAAGAAGGAGGGGGAATACATATCATGCCATAATGTACAATCCTTTAGTTAAGAACTTGGCTTTTACTCAGAGTAAAATAATAAGGCATTGGGAGGTTTTGAGCAGACATGTAGCATGACCTCTGGTTACTCTATAGAGAATAGATTGAATGGGGACACAGATGGAAGCAAAGCATCCAGTTAGGAGGTCATTTCAAGAATCCAGGTGAGAAATGATGGGGGCTTGGACTAGGGTGGTAACGGTGCAGGGAGAAGTGAATTATGGGAAGTGAATAATCACTTGTTCCCCTTTGCAGAAAGATAGTGTTAACAAAGAGGCTGTTGTGTGGAGACTGAAATGGAAGCCTAAAAATAGGCTATTGTAAGGGTTTTGCCAAAGGAAAGAGACTGAATTTGGACAATAAGGATTCTCCTCCCTATAGTGGTGAACACGGGTTTGGAGTAGTTCATCTACCCCATCTAACACAAATGATAAAATAAGCTCTCAAACCCTTTCCCTATCTTGCCTTGATTCTCTACTTGCCAAGCATCCAAGATCCCTTAATTGATGCCCTGGACATAAGTACTCCGATCTCAAGAATAACCCCCACTGAGAACAAATACTTGGTATCAAACTCTGACGACTGTGGTGCGAATCACACATCCTTTCTGGGGAGCTGAGAGCCAGGACTAAGGTGACCACATCAGTTTTTCCACACCGAGCATGCTAACAGGAGAAGCCAGCCTGTCTTATCTTTTGCATTTAAGCCCATTCTATCCTAGGTTTCCCACACACACTACCAAATCTGTGTTGCCCATTTAAAAACCTACAATGGTGCTTTTCCAACAATATGGTATGACCTTTAAGGCTTTTGACATCAGTCTACTCTTCTAGGCCCTTCTGACACTTTCCTTTTATTTACCTCAGAGTGGTAACCTCTGAGTGGTAACCAAGACTTGAACTATGAAGGAACACATTGAAATTTAGACAGCATGAAAAATTGAGACATTGACTTTAAAGATTCAGCCACAGTTGAAAACTTCTCACCTACACTTTTGATAATACACATTGTTGATAACGCCCATCTGTTCTGTTCACCACATATGAAATTAAAGCTGATTTGAGGATGAGGTTAGTGTGTCTTACCCTGAAGCCAAAATCCTTCATTGTAGTTTTCAAAATAGCCAGTGTTTGGCCACCCTGAGACTGTCTTTATTCTCTAGGCAAGCCATCCTCTTCCTTTAAATGGCTCTATGATGATCCCACCGATTCTGTCTGCCAAGGGACAAAACTCAGTGTCACTTCTGCAAAGTCTTTCCTGCTCCACCCTGTATTCACCAGCCAGTTTTTGCACTGAGCACACTGTACAGTAAAATCTCATCTTATGCAGGGGTTGTTTTAATGTCAGTGCACTGAACAAAACTTATGATCAGAGTTACCTTTGGAAGTCCCTTAGAAAGATGCCACTTGGGAGACTGCTATACTGTCTCCTGTTGACCAGAGTAGCCAGTTTTTCTCCAGCATGAGAATAAACTGCACACCAAACAAAATATTTCATTTAGATGTCAGTTCCAAAGTGTTTTAATGACTGTAGTCACACTGATTGCAGTGAATATGCACACACTATCAGGCTTGAGGAATCTGAGACCCACTGAGGTGACCATCTACCACCACCTCTCCAGTAGGCCACCTTTTTCATCAGGTGCTCACTTTTGAGTGGAATGGCAGATAGATGCCTCTTTCCCTTCTTCCCTCCCTGCCAAGCTGGAATTCACATAAGGCAAATTCACTGAGTTCAAGATGATATGACACCACTGTACTATAATTCCTTGTTCTGAAATTACTCATCCAGGCAGTTAGAGTGCTCCTGAAGCACTCAAGACAGATTCCCAAGATTATCATAATGCTTAGCACAGAGTGTATTAATAAAAGATGGATAAAATTAAAGTCTCCTTTATGTTCACCTCCACCCTTGCCCACCACTGGGTAATTATTGCAGGGAGACTCCTGGGCTGCATATGTACCTTTAAGCCAAAGGACAGGCCACAGCATTGCCTTTACACAGCACTTTCTTGCTGATTTTATTATATCCAACCTAGCCTCTTGGGCATGGAACTCAAGGCCACAGCCCTGGCCCCTCTCCCTTGTTTTACTTTTGCCATGGCTTCCTATTCAGCTGTTTCTCTAAGGATGCTTGTGGTTTGCAGTCTGCTGAGTGGGCACCATAATCGCAGAGACATTTTTGCCTACTACTATCGCCCACATTACCCTACCAAACAGACAGGTAAGAGGCAGGCCCTACTGAATAGAGGGTCAGTCCTTGCAGGGTAATTTCTGTATAGTGCTCGGTCTTTATTGATACACCACTGCATATGGAGGGAAACTGCTTTTCTGGTAAAGATTGGAGTCCGTCACATTTCAGATGTGGAAGTAAACCCTGATGTGGGCAAGGGAATCTAGAAGTCTGAGCAGCTGCAGTAGGGCTTAGAGGTCCCTCTTCAGGGCAAGTTTTTGGGAAATGATCATCCCCTCCAGGTCCTTCACTTTGTTTTCTGTTGTCTGAAGTGTTTTCCAAATTCTCTCTTGCAGACCCAATGACAGGAAGAAATTATTGTCTTGAACTGGGAGACCACTCACTTCTGAGTTGGCCAGCAAAATCTGAAAGATTCTGAGCCATTCTTGTAAAGTTTGTAGAGTGTGATTACAAAGAAGATTATTTTCTAAAATAAAACAACAGAAGTTGAACATTACTTGTTTATTCATGTGAAATGCTTTAATTTACTATAGATGCAAAACAAAAGCTACTAATAGTAACAGAAATACAACATTCTTATGCCAAGCCCTCTGTTTAACATGTCCACACCTATTTTGTCTTTTGATCACCACAAAATGGGAGTAGTAGCAGTTCAGGATTACTATTTGCATTTAATTAATGAAGATTATAATAATAGATACCATTTACTGAAAGATTGCCACATGTAAGGCTTTCTGCTAGGAGTTTCTTTGCCTATGCATGATCTATTTTTGTAGAAAAAACAGAATTGGATAACCATTTAGATCCCTTATAGTTTGGACTCTGCTGGTTGTTCAAGGTCATATACTTGGAAATGGTAGAGTTAGAACTGGAATTCAAGAATTTTGACTTCTATGTATGTTCTCTCAGGACACAGCAGTCCGAAACACTGGATTTCCAGGTCATGGTAGAAAAACATGGAAAACATTTTTTGAAAGTACTAGAACAGATTTCTGCCAGGGTAATAAAAAAAAAACAATCTTCTTTTTTCCTTATTTTAACAACTAGTACTGCTTATTGAGTACTTACTATGTGCTAAGCTTTATACATAGAACATCTCTAATCCTCACAGCAACCCTGAGGGAGCCACTATTAGCAAACCCATCTTACAGATAAAGAAACTGGGGTTTAGAGGCTAAGTGATTGCTCTCAGGTCACACAGCAAGTGGTGGAACCTCAAGGTAAGCCCCAGTCTGGCTCCAGAGCCCGTGCTGTTAACCACTGTTATACTACCCTCATTTTCTTGGCTGAGGTGTCCAGAGGGCTGCAGATTCATCTTTCTGATTGAGTTAAACATTAACCAAACAAGGATGGAAGGCAGAATCACAGATAAGAGTTCGGTTTTTGTCTTATATTCTCCTATTAGTTGATTGACATACATGTGTGTGAACATGTATACACACATATCCCTCTTGGGGATTTAGGTCAGTTGGATTATATTAATTGAGATTTTGGAGAAGAATTGAATTTAGAGTCCTAGAAACTGGGTCAAATCTCAGCTTTACTAGCTTTTACCATCTGTGTCAACTTGGTTAGGTGATAACCATATTCCCTCACCTATAAAATGGAAGTGGGAATACCTGCCCTGCCTACCATGCAGGGTTTGGGAGAGGTTAAGAGAATGAAGACAACTGATTCCTCAACAGCAGTGACATAGGACAGTATGTGAACTCTACAAAACGATCTGGTAGTAACTTCTCTCAGCATTTTACCAAGTAAACTAAATTCTACCTCCTTGTATTTCCACTGAACCACAGTGCAACTCTGTTTGTCATATGAAAATAACCTCTATCTATAGCTCATGGAATTGTTGATAATTCTCTAAGCATTTTGACTATATTGTGAATATAGTTATTATTATTGATTAAACAAATACATAAAATCCTAAGTGTTTTCATAATCTCAATTATATTCCTATTCTCTAAAAGAGCCCCTGTGTATTTGTGGAGCCCTGCTTTGTTAAAACAAGGAAATAATAAAGACGTTGTGATGACTAAGTGAATGCACATGCCTCCTGGTCAGTTGCAGAGCAACAGCACAGGAAGACGAGAAAGGCCAGCCCTGAGATTTCAGGTACTCTTGTGGTGCTGAGGCTACAGACGGTAGCCCATGTGGTGTCTGGCACGGAAGTAACATTTGAGGAGGAGTATGTGGTCAAATAAATTTGGGGACCAGGCTGCCTTCTGAGCTTATGAACTTGTTTGATCTACTTCATTATAAGACAAGCCAAAGACCACTGGGAGAAAGAGCATTTTTATGCTCAAAACCTAATTGGTGGAAGTTTCTAAGGATAACTTAGTTTTTAAGGATAACAGAGGTTCTCCCTTGCTCTTCTGCAGTCTTAAAACTGGGCGTCAGCAATACGGGAGAACTAATCAAATCTCAAAACTATTTAAATTTCTCTGTAACAAAAGAGGATAACCTGAATTGACTGAACACTTCGTTTCCATAAGGCAAATACTCCTATTCCCAACAAAAGCAGAAAGAAAATCCCCAGGACAGCTTGCTTCCCACTCACATGGTGAACTTTCTCATTCAAAACCAACCAGGCACTGGTTTCTTTTTTTTCAGTTCAGTCATACTGCTTTCTCTGATCTTTGGTAAGTCCTAGCTCTAGCACAGCACCATCCAGTAGAACTTTCTGGAATGATGGAGATGTTCTATATCTGCTCTGTTCAACATGGTTGCCAGCAGTCACTGAAAATGTGGGTAGTGTGGCTGAGGGACTGAACTTTACATTTAATTAAATTAAGTAGTCACATGTGGCTAGTGGTTACCCTCCTGGACAGTACTGATATAGAACTTTTCCAACAATCCATTGACTGGACAGCAATTATTTTCCATGACAAATGAGAAAACTGGTCAGGTGGAGATTGCAGGAATAAGATTTGTAATAATATTATTTGTAACTCCCTAAAGAGGGATTTTCTAAAGAGTGAAGAATTTATTTGGTAAATGTGGAGGGAGGTTCTTACTGGATCATTTTGTAGCATTCCTTTTTTTCATAGGTTACTATTGGTTACAAACTGTGATCTTTGGGAAGGTTTTATTGTAACCTATTTAAGCCTCATTTTGCTCATCTGTTTACAGATGAGGATTCTACCTCCTTCACAAGGCTTATATTAGGAACAAAATTGTATTATTTTCTAAGCACTTTTTAAATAGCATGTTGCACCACAACCTATTTATAACCTTCGCAAATCCTTTAGTTACTGACTAGTGCCTATCTACTGGCAAGAAAGTATGAAAATAAAAAATGTATGGTCTGTTCTCAAAAATCTTAAATGAAAAAAGTTTGCATACTGGCATATAATCTACATTGAGATCAATTACAAAGCAGGAATCCAAAAGAGGGTTTGCAATAAGAAGAGGAAAGGGGCATGATAAGGAAGACAAGTCAGTTATGACAAAGTTTTTAGAAAAATATTGTCTGATGCCATTCCAATTTGTTCATTCTGGTTGACTGGGAGACAGAACAGTAATAGGGAAGACTGGTGGAGAAGGAATACTGTTTGGTTCTTGCAGGAAGGGGAAGTATGGCAAATTGCTTGAAGCATCACACATCCAGAAAAGTGGAATTTAGAATGCTGGTCAGGGTGAAATGACATACTGATTTAGGAGTGACTGCTATTGATGTTAAACTCATACTCTGCTAGTGACTGACTGTACCCAGAATCCTTTCTAGCAAGGAATATAAATTATTCACATGAGACTTAGAATTTGACTGTAACAGGTTAAAAATAGGGCAGAAACCATTAAAAAAGAATGGTAACCAGAAACTTTGGAGAAAGATGGGGTTGTGACAACTGAATCATTACCTAAGAACTCCCCACACTAGATTAGATCACCATTACATGGCACTTGATATAATTAGTTATTTGAGCAATTTTGGATGTACAACCTGAATCATTACCTAAGAACTCCCCACACTAGATTAGATCACCATTACATGGCACTTGATATAATTAGTTATTTGAGCAATTTTGGATGTAACATCTGTCTTCCCTATCACAAACCCAAGGAAGACAGAGACCATGTCCATTTTGTTGACTAACATATTCCTAGTGTTGGCACATAGCATTAAACTATTTTTCAGAAAATGCAAAGTCTCCTAGAGGAATTATAACTGTTCATTCATCAAGTGCTTATTACCCTATTTGTGTACTTGAAACTAGCTGTTGAGAGGATAGGCCTTTCGGAGCACAATGGATCTGGACTCAAATTTTAGCTGTACTATTCACTAACTTTGTTACCTTGGGCAATTTACCTGAGGCTCAATATCTTCATTTGTAAAGTGGGAGTAACTTCTATCTTGCAAAGCTGTAATGAGAATTCAATAATTTGTATAAAAGAACCATGCTATACATATAGATAAGGGCAACTATTATTTGTAACTCCATTTATGACCAAATACAAGGTATTGTAAAATAATAGTATAAAGTGCTTGTTCTCAATAGCATAAGGTGCCTTATAGGGAATTCAGTCTGAAAAACTCATTTATTGTTTGACTCCCCTGTTAGACACCTGAACACCTCCAGTGATGAATTACCACTGAAGGCCCCACCTCAGTGTCACCCACCCATCCATTCAGCCAGCTAGTCATCATTCAGTCACTTCCACTCAGTAGTCGTCCACATCATGTCCTATTAGGAGCTTCTGACTTCCACATTACAACTTAGGACTTATGCAACACCTACTTTCAAGGTTCTTCATTGCTTTTCAAACAAAATCCAAAATATAGAAAATGGTTACAAGGCACTAAAATACCTAGTCCCCTCTTAGCTATCCAACCTTCTTTCCCTTTCCCTTTCTCCTCTTAACTCAAGCTATAGCAGACTTGTCAATGTCACTAACACACTGCAAAGGCTGCCTTTGCACGTAACTGGATTGTCCGCTCTGGCTAACTCCCTATTGATAACCCAGGTTTCAGTTTAATCACTGTTTCCTCAATAAGTTTTCCTTTCCTCTTTTTTGGCTTCCATCACAGAGCTGCTTTGCTGCACTTTTGTTTAATTATTTGTAGTTTTTTGTTTAATGTCTACTTTCCTTACTAGACTCTTACCTCCATGATGCAGGCAACTGACCAAGTCATGTTCAGCACTCTTGTCCTCAGGAGCTAATATGAGCTTAGTAAATATTTGGCTATAGCTTTCCAGTGCCTCCTGTCTTCTTTTCCAGACTAAAACCTGCAAAATACAGCTTGAAAGGTTTTTAGATCTCCTGACTAGCCTTGTGATCACCTTCCTCAAAGTGGGTCAGACCAAATGCAGTCTGTCACGGAATACCCTACAGGTGTAGGCCAAGCAGCTAAGAGTGGGCCACTCTTTCTAGACTTAGCTTTACATGACAGAAAGTTTTGCCCCTGAATCACTAGTATAAAGCTAGGAGGCATTAGTCTACTATGGGAGGTGGAAGTGGGGAGGAGTGGGGATTGAGTAACTTTTCTGGCTTTTAGAAGTTGCTTTCAGTAAGAAGGACGGACTTTTTCATGGGTTACTGTCATTAACAGTATGCACCAGTTTCCCTTCTCTTTTCTTAAGTGGGGAAATGTCAATACTAGATACATGACTGGAGTTGGATCTGCATACATTGCTTTTACTTACACTTCAAACTTTCCCGCTATTCACTTTCACAAACAATAGTGAATAATTATAGAACTGTGATGTTTGGGGTACTTTAAAGGCCATCTGCAACTTTCCATCCCTTTCTTCACATTGTTTCCTTCCCTGTTACTCTTCCAGTCATAAGAGATTAGAAACTAGGCTCCATCTCTTCCCAGCTTTTATTAGCTAGGCAAGACACTTTTTTTTTTAATCTGTCAAAGGATAATGACACTACCTACTTTGTGGAGTTATGAAAATCCAATCATGTAATTTTTGTAAAGTGCTAAAAAAAACTTTAATTATGCTGAATTATCATAGCACTTGCCACTTTGTGTTATAGGTCACTTATACAAGTTTTCTGTGCCTATGAATCATCTGGAGAACTTCCTAAGTGCAAATTTTGGCCCAGAAGGTCTGGAGTGGGGCCTGCCAGTCTACATTTCTAACAAGCTCCTAGGTGATGCCCACACTGCTGGCCCACAGCCACACATTAGCAATGCTCCAGATACCCCAACCCTCACACTAAAGCTCCTGTGGGAGATGCCTTGACAAATTTGCTTTGGTATTATTACCTCCCAAAGCATTTGAAACTGCCTTTAAATATGTGTGTACTTAGCTGTTTGGTTAATGACTGTCCTCCGATGACTCTGTCCTTGGCAGTGCATCTCAGAAGGAGGCAACGTGGGACTGAGAGAGGATAGATTGGAGATGGAATCCCTAGCAAGACTAATCAAAAACCTTCTTCCCCATCCTCTTTCATACATGTGCTCATAAACATGGGCAAACATTGAAGAGAATTCTAGGTAAAAGGCAAAACTGAGTATCTGGCACTCTCATTTTCTGCCCATTATTTTAAGTGCATTCTTGAATTGAAAAAGGCTTTGAAAACAAAGTCAGTATTTCCAGGGCTGTGCCAGCATGGGGACAAACCCCAAAGAGACATCAAGTAAAAATCAAAGTACTAAAAGCTACAAAAACAGCCCTTTGATGTTCTGTATTATATAATCATACGTGCTTTTAACATAACACTGCCTTCAATAAAGATCAAATAAAGTAAGCTGCTCCAACTGGAATAGTTGATTCCTAGGACCAACTATTTAGGCTTGTATGTGAAGCAAACTTTCAACTAGGTTCTGAAAAATCAGACTTTGGTTCCATAATAAATGAACTCATTTGGCTCTTCCAGAGGGTAGGAGTTTGGAGGGGTTGAATGGACTGTAATTCAGCCTTATATAAATCAGCAGCTTTCTCTTGCTCTGGGCTAAAAATCTCTGAGAAATTTAAAAAATCCCCTTGAAGGCACCACTCGTTCCTCATGCTCTCATCACAGAAATGAAACTTTCAAGATGATCACCCAACCTCCTCACTTTATAATGAAGGAACTGAAACCCACAGAATAAACTAGATCAAGATCCCAAGGAGTCAGTCAGTAGAGACTTCAGTCTCTAAGATGTTCCACTTTCTGCCATTTTCTTTCCACAGATTCTTACTGAGATTTACCTTCGGGGATCTGAACCAAGAAATTACTTGGGCTGGGGGTGATTTAGACTCTAAAGATAAAGCAGAGGCAGAAAAAAATTCCTGAATTGCTGACAGAACAAGGTAACAATGTATACGGGTTAAGGGTCAGAGGTCTTAAAATCCTGACCACAGAGGGAGGAGCCAAGATGGCAGCGTGAATAGGGCAGCAGCAATCTCCTCCCAAAACCATATATATTTTGGAAAATACAAAAATTACAACTATTCCTAAAGGAGAGACCAGAAGATTCAGTACAACAGCCAGGCTACATCTGCACCTGCGAGAACCCAGCACCTCACCAAGGGGGTAAGATACAAGCCCAGGCCTGGAGGAACCTGAACGTGCCCCCCACCCCAGCTCCCTAGCGGGAGGATGGGAGTCGGAGCGTGGAGGGAGTGGGATCCCAGGATTGCTAAATACCCAGCCCTAGTCATCTGCACCAGGAGCACAGACACACAGTGCATGGTGTGCTGGATACTAGGGAAACAGGACAGTAAAACCTGTGAGCGGGTTCTCACAGCCAGCGCCCCTGGGACAAAATAAAAGTGAGTGCTTTTTGACAGTCTTAGAGGGTCAGGAGACTCACAGCTGGATGGAAGCATCCCGGCGCACTCAGCGCAGCAGCTAGGAATCCAGGCCAGGGGAACTACAGATGCCCTAACCCCCTGGGCGGCAGTGCAGCTCTGAGGCCCCTCACTGCAATAAACAGCTTCCTGCCCGTTCCCCCTCCAGCACAGGCCCACCATAG